TCATGGAGTTTTTCTGCATCTTGCGTTTGTGTGTCCAGAGGGAAAAGAGAAGGAAAACAGCAGAGAAGATGACTGCCATGAATGAAGCAGCATATCCAAATCCAGTGAGAAAAAAAGAAGGGAAAAAATTTTTATTTACTCTGATCCTTGCTTCCCAAAAACTGCTGAGGCAGGTGAAAGTGAGGTTGTTATTCGGCAGAGTTTCAGTGAGGTGATAGACAATGATGCTGATGGACGAGGCTAAAATCTCTGACCCCAACAAGAACCAGGGCACCATCCTGTCAATTTTTACTTTCAGGTAGATGAAGAAGCTGTTCCTGAAATTGGCAATTTTTATACAATAAAACCCACAAAGACAGGCTGAAACCAACAAGTTGGAGTGGTTAAAAAAGGTTGTAAAAGACGAAATTAATTGAAGTATGGGGGGAACATAAAGGTAATTGGGATGAATTATTAAAAGGAAGTGGTATATCCATAAGAGGCATAAATAGGTAATCCTGGACCATCCCAGCAGCAGCAAGATCTTCTCATTAGAGTTCAGGCTTTTCTTTTTGACCCAGGCAATGCAAAGCACACAGACAATGAAAGCGTTTATCCACATGCCAGCAAACACCTCCAGGGTGACGATGGCCATAGTGGTGGCCCCGTATGAAGTGACATTGGATTGCTGTGGAGAGTGACAAGCTTCCATGCTGCGAGCTGGGGAGCAGAGCTGTGCTGGCCAAGGGGCTGTGGCAGCAGTGCCTGAGGCAGGTCAGTGGCTGCTGTTGCTGGAGTGTCAGGGATGGCAAGAGGAGCTTTATAGAGCTGCTGCTGCTGGTGCTGCTGCTGCTGGTGCTGCTGGGGGGGATTTTGGTGCCGCTGCTGTGGGGACCAGGGCAGGTGCAGAGATGTAAATGTGCTGGGTATCCCCTTACCCGGGGCCAGTGTCACTCTTGACTATTTGAATGTTGCTTCAGGGGGCTGTGTTGGGTGACACAAACAGCCGAGATGTTTTTCTGCGGTGGAGAGTGTTGTGCATTTGAGAGTGAGCCCTGTTTGATCAGGGTCAGGCTCCAGGATATGGGGTCCTCTGTCCCTTTGTCATCTACAATGATCAAGTTTGTTTTTTATACTGTAATTCAAAAATATTATTTATTTTGCTAATTTTTGAGTTTGATGAATGTCAGAGCATTGCCTTGAGTGTATTTTAATTTCCTGATAGTGCATGTTGTCTACTTTATGCTTTATTGTGTGTTTCCTCCTCTCTGGTTTTGCTGACAAAACAGAAAACACTGTAGATTTTGGTGTGTTTTTTTTTTCTTTTCTCTTTTATTTTTTCTTCACTCCGTTATGTTTCTGAAAAAAATGGAAGTTATTTCTATTACAACTGGTGTGAAGATGACCTGTCTGTGCTGGGTCTGTACTCGTACATTAAATGAACATTTGTAGTCATTTCGGAATGTTCCTACCCAGTTCTGTGGCCCCACTTCGACCATTCAATCCACACTGCTGCTTTCTTTCACTCCCCTTTTTGTCATCTTCCTTCTCCCCTGCGAAGGCTGGAGAGGAGAATTCGAGGAACAAAAGGCAATGGTCATAGTTTAAGATGAGAACAATTTACGGCAAACAGCAATGAAATAAGAAAATGAACAGTAACAGTAACAGCAACACTACTGATGTCAGTGTACAAGAAAAGAAATTATTCACATGGTAATAACTTCTCAATGACGGACAATAACAAAAGGATCTTCCTCTCCCCAGAAGATAGACCCTTTCCCTTGGCCCCTCCTGCCCCCCTCAGTGAGGTAGTATAAAATAACCCTTGAGTACTGGCCCTGGCCTCTCCTGGCTACTGCAGAAAGTAACCCCGTCCTGGTCAGAACCAGGACAAAATGTTACAACAACAGGTCCACACTGTGGCTGTGGCTTGGAATCAGCTCTGTGTGGAGAATCTGGTACCTTAAAAAAATAAAGGAGTATCTACATCAGAGTCTCCAGTGCTGGGTTTTCAGATCAAGAAGATACGGATCAGGAGCCTGCTTTTTGTTCAAATCCAGCCCTCTCGCACTACTCAAGAAGAAGAAGGATTCTCCAAGCCATTGTATCTACCAGCTTATGTGGATTTTTTGGATGTCCTTGTGCATGTCAAAATGCATCAGACCGCTGATTTTATGCATATGGAGGGACACACAGCTGTATTGGGATCTGAGAGACATCACACAGACTGCGTTGCTTCCATCTGAGCTTGGTTTAGGATGAACATCTTCCCTCTCCAGAATCCTTGTCTTCCTTCTTTATTACTGAAAATCCCAAATGATTAGCCTTGGTTAGCTAATTGCTTAGGCTATTAGTTGTCCAGTTTCTTCTGAGCAAATCCATTCCATCCATAACTGAACTTCAATGACCAGAATGACACAATTGTTTCAGGATACAATGCTGGAAAACAAAATGAAATCTCAGGGCGAATGTTACAAACTGGTTATGGAAATATTAATTCAACTCCAAATCCTTCTTAGCTACAGAAGGTGGATTGGCATGTTATAAAGTGGCATTAATTATTTGTTAGCTTGTTTCTGGGCAGTTGCTGTTTAAGGAGAGTTGGGTAGTTTGGTGAGACGGCCTGCTAGAATGTGTGGTCTGTCACACAGACATTCTCAAAGAAATTCTCAAAGAAAATTCTCAAAAAAGAGATATTGCAGTGGTTGAGAGGTTGCTCTGGCCTAAATGGTTCTATCCCTCAATTCAGAAGCAGGAAGGAAGCTTTTTGAAGGTGAGATGAGAAATGCACACCTGGCATGAGGTATAACGACCCTCTGAACCTGAGCTGGTAAAATAAATGACTAGTTCAGGTTCTGCTCTGTTCATGCTGGTGTGAAGGAAACTTTCCTGTCTCGCTACCCTGGAGGCCTTCTGACACTCATGCGCCACCACCAGAGATTGTCACTGCTGGGACCAAAGCCCTTTCACAGTGGGCAGCTGGCCCACTCCACTGCCTTCACACACCACACTCAGCGCCAGGTTTCCTCACCAGCTTGGCACTGGGTTTCCCACAGTAGAGTCTCAGACCTCCGGATCTTTAAAGCAGTTTAATCATGGCACAGCAACTCAGAAGCAGCTCAAGCTGGGTGCCTCTGAGGAAGTAACCCAAACAATTGGATCCCTGGGATTTTGAGTCCTTCCAGCCCATGCACATGATGATTGGAGTGTCCTAAGTGTTCAGTCACCTGGCTGGTGCCACAGGTCCCTGTACCCCTTGCTGTGCAAGGGTTGACACCAGAGTTGGGACTCCCAGTGCTTCCCCACAATCTGCAGCTCACATTGCAGCTGCTCACTGAGCTATCTGCACTGAATGTATTCCTCCACACTGGAACTATTTCACATTTCCAGGCCCTGTCATGGTGAGTTGACCTTGAGCAGCTCTCAGAGCTACACTCAGTCACTCCTTCACTCTCACTCTGGAGCAGCACAGGGGTGAAAAATAAGATGCAACTGCTCATGAGTCAAGATAAAGACAGGGAAATCACTCACCAGTTATTCTCTCAGACAAGTTCTTCTCTCAGACAAAGCAGACTCAACACAGGGAAAATCAATTTAATTTATTGCCTATTGAAAACAGAGTAGGATGATGTAGAACACACACAAAACTAGAATATTTTATCTTCACCCCCCAGTAATCTCAGGCTCACTTTAACTCATTCTGAGGTTCTCTACCACCTCCTCTCCTCAGCAGCACAAGAGGACAGGGAATGGATGTTGTAGTCAGTCAGTATTGGGTCCATGGAGTGCTTAGAACTGGCTTTCCCCAGCATGGGACAGCCTTGGCCTTGCCCCTTTGAGACCCCACAGGCCCTCAGCTGCAGCAGCTGACCCAGGCACCCCATACATCTTCTCATCAGTGATTGTGACATTGTTCCTCGCTGCACCTTGTACAAAACCCACATTCCTGGGTGTTTCACTGAGCCAGAGTGCACTGGGAAAAGGCAATGTCATCAGCAGGTCAGAGCAGGCCAGGAGAGCAGTGACACAGAGCAGGGAATGCTGTCCTTGCAGGCAGAGAGGACACGCAGGGCTGGAGAGGGAAGGGGGCTCTGCAGCCCCTGAGCTCCCTGGGGCCGTTCCTGCCTCGCTCTTTGTGCATCAGTGACACCTCTGGGGGGTGCCAGGGCTCAGCGTGTTCACACAGAGCTACCAGCCACTGCCAGACAGTGATACAGCCCATAATATATCACAGAGCACAGGGCCACAGCAGAAAGAAAGGAAAACCAAAACAGAGATAAAACCTGTTGTTTCATTAAGTCATTTCAATCAGTGAAAATCAAAACATTTGAGGCAGGTTTTCAGCATGATTATTGCTCTTTTGCATCCAGCCCCTGTACAAGGTCTAAATGACTCTGCTATTGACAATAATTTAACTCCAAATGCTGTTTTAATTAAATGCAAATAATGATTTATTTACCTCATAATAATATTAGTTCAAAGAATTTGAAATAGATATAGCTGAACATGTCTAAGATCTATACTGCATGGAGAGTTGCAATGAAAATTAATTTAACTTATTTTCTCTAAAGATATTTTGCATGAGCTACAGCTTTTGTTACAGTTTCTACTTCATGCAAACCTTGCACATCACACTGGGAAGAATGTTAAGCAGTGCCTTTTCCAACTTGGGATTGCTGAAAATCAGAATAAGGGAGTGAACACCAGGATAAGCATGTTGAAATAAGTAAACAAGAAATCGAATGTGATTTTCGTGTGCTGTTGAATAAATTAGAGTCAAGATGAAAAACATAAAGTTGATGCTGTACATCACTAAGAAGGAAAGAATAGATTTCATGGCTCTGATGTGGGCATCCATGCTGAGGTCCTTCATGGAGTTTTTCTGCATCTTGCGTTTGTGTGTCCAGAGGGAAAAGAGAAGGAAAACAGCAGCAAAGATGACTGCCATGAATGAAGCAGCATGTAAAAAGCCAGTGAGAAAATTAATAGGGTAAAAATGTTCCTCTATTCTGATAGTTGATTTAAAAATTCTTCCTTGGCAGGTGAAATTGAGGTTTTTACAGATAGCTTCATCAATAGTGATGTAGACGAGAATTCCAATAAACAGGGAGAAAATAACTGACCCCAACAAGAGCCAAGGCACCATCCTGTCAATTTTTACTTTCAAGCAGGTGAAGAAGCTGTTCCTGAAATTGGCAATTTTTATACAATAAAACCCACAAAGACAGGCTGAAAACCACAAGTTGGAAGAAAAAAAAAAGCTATATGCACCTTCAGTTAGTTGAAGTATGGGATGAATCAGAAGGCAGTATGGGTAAATGTTTGAGAGAAAATAATATATCCATGAGAAGCACAAACAGCAAAACCTGGAA